ATGGGGATCGGTAGACCTGCGCCCACACTGAGAGCGAAGACAGGTCGCTAGGTAATCCTTATCAATCACCGTCATAAATTATCACTCGTTTATCATATCCTTATCAATAATTATTCCAAAGTATCACTGATAAAAATGAAGTTATCAGTTGATATCTCAAAATGAAGTGAAAAAGGATAAGTGTATACCTGAGTTCTCGTGGTATTTTACCAGTTTGACAAATACGTGAATAACGTTGATCGGGTGGTCTTGAACCACCCCATTCCTCATACAGAACTGATGGCGCGATACATTCGCTGAGTTTAGCCTTCCAATCGGTACCCAAGAAGTTGATCTTTTCTTTGGTTTGTTTAGCGAGACATGGACTTATCAATGACCAAACCATTTGGATGAACGGTGGTGAACGGATTATGAATATTTTACGGATGACATCCGGGAACATCTCCTCAAATGGTGTTCATCATAATAGACAACCTAGTGCTGCAGTGTGGCGGATGAATAAATCAGGCACGGGGACGGGGATGATCGGCGAACAATGCAAACGAATGCATCTCAACCGTCAGTCTATCTTCACTCTACCCAACCATTACTATCGTCTTTATTTATCGTGTGCATAAATCATATTATTAATTGTCGCCCTCGCAACAGCAACACAAGTAACATCACAAACAGTGCCGATCAAAATCACGAACATTTGCTTCCTCTCCCCCAACCCCCCCCCCCCATGCTGCTCTCCCTTACATCTCCATCTGCTGCTCCTCCCCTTAAAACTCCCATGCTTTCGCTTTATACCCGCTTGTTGCCTAGTTTAGGGCGTTCTTTCATTAGTTGACATTATTCAACTGCCTCAAAATAACGGGAGCAAACCTGCAATTGACTGAGCATCGAAGTGATCATTTTAATGGCCGATCTGGACAGCATATCGGTGCTGAGACCTTCCAAATCGAAGATGACTGTTGTGCCAAGTTGATGACCACTTAACTTCTCGTTCATTCTGAATAGATCAAGTAATAGTCAATAATTATCAGCCTATCAATCTACTGCGGTTCGGCAAGTGAGAAAGTTCGTCCCCGATTCTTCCCGTCCCTACTTTCCCCTTGTCCGATTTTCCTCACCCCGGACCTTCTCCTTCCCCGAGTTTTCCGTCCTCAACTGTTCGGGTTCCCCGTCTTCCTCGTCCCCGGGCTTCCCGGTATTCAACCTTCCCCATCCTCGACATCCCCCGTCTCCGACCCTCCCCATCCCCGAATCTCCCATCACTAATCTTTCTCGCCTACGAATCTCCCATCACTAATCTTTATCGTCCCCGAATCTTCCCCTTTCCACCTCCCCCATCCTCCACCTCCCCGTCCCCGCATCACCACCAGCAATAATAATACGCAAACCACTAACCTGATCAAGTTCATTGTTCCTTCACTCTCCGCAATCCGCAACAAATATAAATCCGAATTCTTCACACACGACAACAACCCATCCGTATCCAATTTTCCAATCATTTGAAAAGATATCACATTCCCTTCTTTATCATATCCCAACAATGATCCTTCAACATCAACCTGTTCTTCTTATTCATTACTATTCTTATTCTTATTATTATTATTATTATTATTATTATTATTATTATTATTACTATTCTTATTATTATTATTACTCATATTACATATTGTTGTTGTTATTATACATTTATATGTATATTGTTATCGTATGTTATTATACTATTATTCAGTGTTGGGCAGTAGCGCGCTATTCCGCTATTGCGCTATTAGCGAATAGCGGAATAGCGATAGCGGGAACGGCGCTATCGCTGTTCG